TTACTTGTCCGAAATAATTTTTGAACTACTTACCGTATTTTCCGGACTATAAGTCGCAGTTTTTTTCATAGTTTGGCCGGGGGTGCGACTTATACTCTGGAGCGACTTATGTGTGAAATAATTAACACATTCTATCATTTGACATGTTATTTTCACATTAAACCACAAGAGGGGGCCCGAGGCCTGTGTTGATGCAAAAAAAACCTAAGATGACTCTGACGTCAGCGAAGTAGAAGAGGAAGCACCGTCTCTTCTACCTCCGAAGTTGGCAGAGTTGCTTAAAAGTGACACAGAGGATGAAGATTTCATTGGATTTAGTGATTTGGAGTGACACTGATGGTTTGGTAAACTTGTTAGCATGATCATTATGCTACAGTGATCTGAATAACTCTTAATATGTTCATTGTTTATGCGTCATGTAACGTTAGCATATCATATTCTTATTCAGCCCGTTGTTTTATTTTTATTTGCCTTCAAAGATGACGTCTGTTCTTGGTGTTGGATTTTAGCACATAAATTTCCGCCCAAAATGCAACTCCAGTGCGACTTAGGTATGTTTTTTTGTTCTTTATTATGCATTTTATGGCTGGTGCGACTTATACTCAGGAGCGACTTATAGTCCGGAAAATACGGTATAGGGAATTCAAGTAAAAAATGTTCTTTATAATCTTCTTCTTGTTCTATGCTCCCCCACTTGTCTAAGCATGGCATTCTGATTAATATTGTGTTTGTGGAATAATAATTCAGCAGCAAAATCCACACACTTTTATCCACAGGCATATCCCGACATATTAATGGGCTCCAGCAAAGTGGCTGGCAATCAATGTAACATAGTATATGCACATTGTAAAAGCACAAGAACAATTGTTACAATAAGCATTTGGATTGGTTGAGTCGTGAAGTGAATTAAGATGTAGAAAGAGAGTTGGAAACAGTATTCAAAAGTGTCCACCACAAGATCTATCTGATGCTGCTTGTCTAAGACTGAAAAGGATTTCCCGCACACGTTGTGAAAGTGCTATATAAATGAAAATTTATTGTGTTGTATTCTTGTAATTTTCTTTTCAGAATGAATTGCAGACCTTTTTCCACAAAAAAATTCTTCAAGAGTTCAGTGTGAGGCTTATTGGAAGCAAGTGCACATCCAACTATTCCAAACAATAACTATTGCACAAAATCATATTTTTTCCACACAAGCAAATATACCAAGCAATGAAATATTACGCCCCAATGTGAATTTAACATTACTTTAAAGACCCTGTAAAGTAGAGCAGAGATTTTTTTTTCCCCAAATTATTCAACATGTTTGAAGATGACTGCTGAAAACATGTGCAAGGAATGAGAATTGTGTCGTACTCAATTGTGGAGACATCATGTAAAGCTGTATTTCAGTATTTCAGTTTCCCTGACTTCTTGGACGTGGCTAAAATGTTGCCCCCTGATGCACTTGGGTGTTCAGCATGAGTCGTCCCCTTTGCCCAATTGTATAAGAACTGAGCGTCTTTGTTTGCACCATTTGCCATCCGCAGCGCCGCATTGTGTTAGGCACGTCAGCTTGACAGCTGAGGCTGGCATGGAAAACCGGGGCAGCGCAAAATAGCATGCTCCGAGCATTCCCCAATGAGAACAGCAAAAAACAGGGATGTTGGCTATGCTGCAGAGTGTGTTCATTTATTTATTTATTTACTTTGAAGAATCAACCGTTAATTTCATTTTAGTCATTTATGAAATGTGTACTCGCTCTAGTCTTGTTGGTGCTAGAGTTGGACACTGGATTTTTTAAACTTAAGGAACAATTAGTGTCCCGTCATAGTGGAATGATGCTCAGTGGACTTTCCATAACGAAATACGGACAATCCGTAACATGTGACACGTCTGTGCCAATAAACATTCAATCTATGTTTTGCATTTAAAAAAAAAATGGGAGGGTGTGGGGAATATATATGAAAAAAAATTCTAAAAATAAGCAAATCTGCAGGTGCTGAACTGCAAGTATGCAGGGGGTCGACTGTCCAGTAAATTAAATACTAACCTCATACGGCAGATGAAGGAGCGCCTGGAGCCCATACACATTCTCATGGAAGACTGTTGCCCCTCCTTTTTCACTGTTCCTGTCTTCAGGTCAAGAATACGTCCTGTTAATAGAGTGAGAGACAGCAGGTTGTTTTCAAACAAGCCAAAACAAGTACCAGTACTTTGAAATATAGGTTCATGCATACAGACGTTTATGACAGGCTGCATTTTGTATCATTTTATAACCTACCATTTTATGATATGATGATGAGCTAGACAAGAAGAAACGTGTGTATCATGGCCTCAGAGTAAAAATCCATCATATAACTTTTACAGTCAACACACAAAAGACAGATATGACATGACAGAATGATATACACTAGAATAGAACAGAAAATACACTACAGTTTTTTCCACACTCAAAGATGCACTGGATTATGAGGCGTACCTTCAATGAATGGCCTGTTTTGTAATTTTTTTCATATACTGGAAGCACTGGATTATAAACGCAATCTACAACACAGCCACTAAATGGAGCTACGCTCCTTCCGTTCGACTTCGATTCGAGAGGCGTTCATGACCGCCTCCGAAAAAGGTCAATTCACGATTCCTTCAATGAAACGACGAAAATTGAAAATAATGCATCAAAACAGATAATCAAGCCAGGAAATCACAAAATAAATTCTCTAGCCCCCCCAACAGAATTTATTTTGTAATTTCCTCGTTTGTGAATACACAACAAAGGAATAAATAAACACTTCTGAGACAGTCAAGTCTCCTCCATTTTACTGACATCTGATCGTTCTGTTGGCATTTCCATGAGCGTAGCGCCAACAGAACAATCATTCTGTTGGCATTTTCTTGAGCGTACTCCAACAGAACGATCAGATATCAGTAAATTGTAGGAGATTGGACGGCCTGTAGGGGGGCTATAGAATTTATTTTGTGATTTCCTCGCTTGATTTTCTCTTTTGATGCATTATTTTCAATTTTAGTAGTTTCATTTAACTAAGTGTTAATTTACGTTTTTGGCGGTCATGAACGCATCTTGAGTGGAACGGAGAAGGCACGGAGACGGACAAAGACGTACAGTATCTGTATATGTTCAGACTGTGAAAACCATTAATAAAGTGTGCGTTAGAAAAAAAAAAAAACACCACCACAGCTCTCATTTTTTCAGAGCTGCAACAAAAATGTATTTAATAAAGCAGCGACCCAGTTCACTGAACCAACAGCAAGTTAGAACATTGAAAGCATGTCTCCAGCAAGGAGCCATTTTGGGGTCAACATATTACCCTAATGACCATACACAAGGCGCACCGGATTTTAAGGCGTGAGCTTTTAAGAAAATGGAAGACTTTTTGGTGCGCCTTATAGTGCAGAAAATACGGTATGTGTAGAATAAACCTTGTAATTGGTGGTGCATGTATGCTGTGCAAGAGTGCACATGTATACTCAAAATTTTGAAAGAGCAACAATTTGTCATTCATCACTGTGTGACTGCGCACTGATACTTTTTGCATAAAGATATAATGGGTTATTGGCCACTAAGGTGCTTTTTGCCAAAGTTACCCATGGCCTTCTGTTTTCAAGTTGTCAATATTAAACTATTTCTTTGTATCTGGTCATTTCTAACTTCGCCCCCATCAACATGTTTATGATCTTGGTGTCTCAGATCACAGCGGTTGTGTCAATAGAGCTGCTTTTACTGTCCCCTTACATTAGATCAGTCCTTCTCAAATGGAGGGGTGCGATGTGATGCCGGGTGGGGTTAGCTCTGGCAGACGAGGAAAGACCGGTGTGTTGACTGTGTCTAAAAATGCTTGCCGCAGACAGCATGAACCCAAGTAAATCAAGGCAGCACTTAAAAACATTACACCTCAATCACGCTGATAAGCCTCTGAGAAAGTTATGCATTGCAAAGCGTGCTCATCGTACCCATTAATTTTGATTTGGAAAAAAAAAATGAGCACGAATTGTTTTATTCATTTTTGTTTTGTAGATTAAAGTGTTTTATATATTCTGCCCCTGTGTTAATGCTGCTGAACTAAATTTGAATTTATTCTTATTTATTGATTTAATTATAGTTTTCAGAATGGTGCAATTGTTCAAATGTTGCAATAAGTTGGTCAAAAAGTTGATCAAAAATGTTTAAACAAGGATTTTGAAATTGATGGATTTAAAATAATTTCTGTTACAGACCGAAAAACAATGTTTATAAAGTTATTCTTTGCTGTAATTTGAACTTTCCCAAGTTGCCAAATTTGCCCCATTTGTCACATTATAGTGGTGAGCTCGGAATGTGCAAGCAGTTCATTCACCAGGCCTCATTCATTTTTGATCAGTAACCTTCAACTTATTCAAACAGTAGTTCTAAGGTTGCATTTATCACGAGCCTCTTGACTGGTAAAGCTGCATCCTGGGCACTAGCAGTGAGCAATGCTCGACACGAGCTATGGTCTTCTGAAAAAAAAAAAAAAAACACCCTTGAAGTTCCTCTCCAACTTCAGACCCATCCCCCACCTTCCATTTATTTTCATTTTATCTTGTTAATGGGAAAAACAGTTGCCCCACAACTTCAGGATCACCTAAAATACAATGACCTTTTTGAAAAACTTCAGTCTAATATCTGCCCTGGCTTTAGCACAGAAATTGCCTCGGTCAGGGTTACAAATGACCTGCTGATAACAGCAGAAACTGGCTCCCTATCTCTACTCATCCTAGACCTAACGACAGCCTTTGACACAGTTGACCAATACTGTACAACCTCCACAACTGTCTGCTATATACGATTGGACTCTCAGAAAACATACACAACCGTTTCACCTCTTATCTTACTGACAGAACTGAGAACGTTGCCCTGGGCCAAGCAAAGTCACTGCGGTGTCCCTCAAGGTTCTATGTTGTGCTATCCTTCACCGTCAATCTGCTCCCCCTGGGCAACCTCATCGGCAGATATTAGTTTTCTTATCAAAGTTGTGCTGATGATACTCAGTCCCATATAAGGACAAACCCCACCTCTTCTCCCCCAGCCAACATCTAAACTCTCCGCCTTCCTGGAGGCGATAGAGGTGTGGATGAGGCTCAACTTACTTCAATTGAACAGCTCAAAATCAGATCCCTTAACAACTTCCCCCATCCCAGTTAACATCTCTGGTCAAATCATCCACCTTTCCACATCCATTGCCAGCGAGGGTGTTAAAATGAACACCCCACACCATCTCCTCTTCGACACACACATTAAACTCTTCTGCAAAACTTTCAGTAACATTGAAAAACTCTGTCCTACACTCTCCCTCGCGGATGCAGAGAATCTTGTCCACGCCTCCTCCAGGCTAGACTACTGCAACGCACTCATCATTGGGATTCCGGGTAAGAACATCCAGAGGCTCTAATACATCCAGACTAGTGCTGCAACAATGCTAAGGAGAGGATGTAAATTTGACAATATGACCTCCATTCTGAAATTACTTCACTGGCTCCCGATCTCCCTCAGAATTGAGCACGAGGTCTCCCTCCTTAGCCACAGTGCAGTCACAGGGACTGCCTGATGGCCCCACAGTCTACCGACGTCTTTAAATGAGGTCTTGAGACTTTTTTTATGTTACTTAGCTTCCTGAAAGATAATCTGACTATTGGTGATTGCAAAGACCTCAACAGCTTTGGCATCTCAGCACTGACGAATAGCCTTGAGAAATGTGAGGATATAATGTCTGTTGACAAAGATTCGACTTTAAGTTGATTTAACTTTAAGTGGATGCATTTAAAGCAGGCTGGCAAACGTTTGACAAACTCCTCAATACATGAACTAGTCAATGTAGTGAAAACCAACTACCGAGGTACAGAGCTCCAGAATGCCCCGAAATGATCATATTTTGCCCATAAATTTGAGACAGTGTAACAAAGTTTTTCATCCACTGCACCTATGGGACCTGAAAATGTGTCTTTCTTAATTAAAATTACTGTCATTAATTTCTTTTTGTTTTTTTTGCTGATGAGCTGGTTTGCCACCGTTAACACTGCTGACATTGCAGCAAACAGAGAGGAGCTAGTTTACAAAACAGGCAGCTTTTGTCAGTCAGTTTTCATCTGTCTAGGTTTGCAACATCACAGCTGCAGAATATGGTTCGAGTGTGCTTAGAGGCAGGTGAGACCAAGGCGAGTGGCACAACTGAATCATATCAGCATGTAAAATAGACACGTGGCAGCAATTGTTGTTCTGTGTGCGACATGGCAGAGAAACAGAGAACATGAGCAGAATTTTTTAACATTTACTTATGCAAGGAGCCCAGTAATAAGTGAGTTGATCGCTTGAAACATTGTCAAAGTTGCCCGTTGATACATTGCAAAAGCCACATACTGATACTAATCTACTTTGATAGCAGGTGTAGCTGTTGTGATAAATGCACCCATATGAATAACACACAACAACAACATAACAAAATAACACGTGCAAATTTCCCCAGTGTGGGACAAATAAAGGATATCTTATCTTATCTTATTTCCAGGCATTATGATTAATGCTGTGTTCAGAGGTGCACATAAGAAGCCCAGTGGAAACATTCAATTGCGAACCAGATTCAGGCCTGTGACTGTTAATTTGCGTACGAAGCAGTTTTATCAATGAGCTGCGCTCAGGCTAGCCTTCAAAGTCAAATCAGCCACCACAAGGTTTGCTTCTGAAGGCCCACTTCAAAATAAAAGCTTAGTAGAGCATTGATATTGAGTAGCATTACTTGCTTTGCTTTTATTTTTAAGTTGACCTTCGTGGCTCATTGCGTCCAACCGACCGTTGTGGCGGCTGGCTTGACGAGGTTGACTGTGCACTAACTTCTACACAGACAGTGAGACGGTCAGGAGGAGGGCTGCCGGCAAGACGGTTATCTCCATGTCGCTGCGCTGCTACTTTGACAGTCCACAAAAATATGTTTTTACATGAAACTTTGTGTGGTGTAAAAATGAGTGGACATTGGATGGCTGCCCGAGAAAACTGCTAGGGTACAATATGGCAAATCAGAGGTGGCCAATTAAAACAGGCCATGCAACACAAGTGTGTTGAATGTGAATTTAATGTCTGATATAAAACAGTAAATTGGATTGTTTTAATAAGTTGTTGTAATGTGGATATAAAAACTGGGGGAAAAAAACTGAAAGTTTTTTTCAGTTATATTAAAATGACACATCTACTGTATATTTATTAATGATGTCTTCAAGTTCATCCATGAGGTAGTTGTTTGGTGCTCGTTCGGGAACCACACCAAACTTTTTATCTGCACCCCAAGCTGTGTTCCACTTGTATTCAGAAGTAAATTATGTATGTTTCATTTGTCATGTGCACCAATTTTTAACACAACTACTTCTGGTAATATTATTTCACAATAAGAGAGCATGTAGAAGTTTAAACATCACAGCAGCATTAGCTCTATATCGCGAAATGCTCAATCAAAAATTGTTTCAGTGACTACATTGTGACGGGGCAAGTTTTTATTTTCCTTGTCAAAAAATGTCTCTGATTAAAACTAGGCAACCTAATTGCCGTGTACCTGGAGTGCTGTTATTACTCCTTGCATGATTTTGTTGACATTTTCAGGGCCATAGGTTAAGTTTTGGGGGATGTTCGATGCCACCATAGATCGATACTAGTACAGTAAATATTCCCATCCCCGGAATTCTATGAAAAGGAATTTCCTTCACCCGGAACAAAAACCTATGCATTAACATTTTGACTACGATATTACATGTTACCGGAACTTACGTAAGCGGAAATTCCACTACCCGTAACCCGGATTGAGACGTCATGCCGCGGGAGCTTAAATACACGCAACGCCCACCCGATGCTACGGAACGACGACACCGAGACACATTTTCACTTCGCGTTTTTCGATCATCAGATTCGAAACGACGACGTGTAAGTGAGTTTTTATTGCCGTGCGTTTTACTGTAATTGTGAATGATTTTAACTTTATTCACTTAACGTCCTGTAAAACGCGGCACTAGCTTAAAAGCAGCACCCACTCGACACGACCGAAGAAACGTGTTCGCTTCGCCGTTTTCATTCATCAGATTCGAAACGAAGACGTGTAAGTGACTTTTTATTGGCGTGCGTTTTACTGCAATTGCGAAAGATTTTAACTTTATTCACTTACGT